TTTGGTAAGACCTTGCCATGTTGTGGAGTCCAAACGGAAAAGATCCGACTTCTTGAAAAGATTGAGTGCACCAAGAAGTTATAAGTTTCATGATAAGTCGAAGCCAAGTTTTATAGCTCTCAGCTGGAAAGAATCCTTCGGTTCTCGAAGAATCCGGGTCATGCTCCATCTTGGATCGCGGAGCACGAGTTCGAGAGCTCTGAATGTCGCAAAGCCATGAAACTGGGGTTAATTCCGGACATCACTGACTACGATGAATCTTTCGATTGATTTGATCTCGTAAGTGAGTGCGCCAAAATGGGAAAGGATTTTCATAATTGACTGAATCTTCGAGAAGATGAATTTTGGGCTTCGCCGCCGTCGCTTTGCCCTCATGAACTGCTAAACCAAAGATGAAGGTTGATCCGTTAAGGAAAGATCATGTTATCGAGGTCCACCAGCTCTCGGTCTAGAATCGCAAAAGAAAGCCCACACTTGGTACGCCATGGTATCGACATGTTTGACCACACTGGATAGCTCACCCGGGGGTCTGAGAGGCGGTATGTTTGGGCTTCGGTATTATCGCGAGCAATGACGGTGAGCATAAAGACGAGCGTATTTATCCTCGATTTAGGTCCTGCGATCGTGGATTCTAGTAACAGCCACTATGTCGTTAAAGGCTTTATAATACCTTCTGCTGATTGATTGTGTGTAGTTGTTATGTCAAAAAGTCCTCTGCTTCTGCATAGGGAACCCCGCCTCCTTTATACCTACGGCCGGAGGTTAGAGTCCTAGCTTCCGGTTTACAATGAGAGTTCCTAGTAGGATTATAGAATACTACTACTACTAGGATTACATGAAAAGGAAACCCAGTTAGACAAGATCTTCTCTCTCTTCATTGGGTATCTCAGGGTCCCGTGATCGACACACGGTTGGTGTGATCTCGCTAGACTATAAGCCCTCCGATGTACAACAATGGTGCGCACGGCACCGAAAAAAGAGGTATGCAAACCTCACTAAACACTAGGCCTAAAACTAGAATAAGCGCATAAGCGTGGTCTAATCAACCTAAGCACTTCACAAAGCACCTACGCTAATCACCTAATGAATCACTAAGCACTATGTAAGTGGAGATCACTAAAATAGTGTATTAACACCCTTGGTATGTTTCCTCAGCCTCCATAATACTCAAATGGCCATTGGGGATCTATTTATAAGCCCCACTTTGAAAATAGTTGTTGGGGATGAAACCCACCTTTCGCTACATCGACTCAAATGACGTTGTCATCTTGACCGGACGCTGGTTCGGGTCATCCCTACCGGGTTGAGCGAAGATGCGCTGATTGGATGCATCGTCGAGTTCGATCCATCGCTGGATCGGACGCTGTCCCGATCGACCGCCGCCGCCTGCGGAACCTTCTCCTCGACCTCGATCGGACGCTGCCAGCCTCACGGTCCTAGGCCGATTATTCGCCAAAGGTCCAATCAATGATGAATGTGTTGCCGAGATGATGAATAGTGTCATCGCTGTGTCCTAGGTCACTTTAGTCCTCAGCGTCCGACGCCGCCGCCGACAACGCTGATGCCGAAGTATCTTGATCGGACGTGACGATTCGGTCGGTTATAAGGGCCATGCCCGGTCACCTCTGTGAAGCCTGCTTCTGCGATCTTAAATGCGGTTTCGGTTTCTATCTTCGTGCTTGGACTTTGCTTGATATCTTGGATCCTCTCTTGTGCTTCTAGGGTCTTATTTAAGGTATTGATCATCGGATCATCATGTCACCTTCGTCCAAGTCACGCCTTGCACCCTATTGAACTATAAAACAATCACTTGCAAATTCATTAGTCCAATTTGATTGTGTTGGTCATCAAACACCAAAATCCAAAGTAAATGGGCCTAGAGTCCATTTTCCTTACACACCTCACCCACCAAAGAGCATCATGACCACCAAGCAACCATTGGAGCTAATATATATGGATCTCTTTGGACCGATCGCCACCTAGTATCGGGGTAACAAATATATGGTCGTGTTATTTTTATGACTATTCCGCTTTTACTTGGGTATTTTCTTGCATGACAAGTGCCAAGTTCAAGAGAATGTGAAGATATTTGTTAGATCTCAAAAGGAGTTTGGTCTTCCCATCAAGAAAGTGAGAAGCGATAATAGAGGCAATTCAAGAATACTTTAGTTGAGGAGTTTCTTGACGAAGAGGGCATCAAGCATGAGTTTTCAACTCCATACACATCATCTTCTCCTCTTTTATTTTTTGTTTGGTTTTGTATAATAGAATGAGCTGATGCATCATCACCTCATTCCTCACAAGCTACTAATCCATAATAGTAACGAGAATGTAGTCATCACACCAAATTTCGGAAATGAACTTATGATGCACCACCTCATCTAGAATGGTTTGATTCCTTAAACCAAACACCCTATTAAGGGATTGACTCATGGTGCACTATCTCATTTGAGCGATTTGATTCCTCAACCAAACACCTTATAAGCAAAGTGGGCGTGAGCTCGCTCAATTTTGAAAGCCTAGACCACGATCAAAGCATGTATACCACTAGCACCGGGTTATATAGTCCTGCACGATGTAATACTAATAGATAACAAAACTAGTTCTTCTAACATTCATGGTTTTGGACAACATCTTTTATTCTCCTAGTGCTTGTACAAAAGGTTGGCTTTGTGATACTGGTTGTACAAGGGTGTGTTGCTTCAGCTTATTATGGCTGTTGTTGCATCTCCACAATAACTTTCTATTGTATACAAAACATAAAGTAGCACCAGCCACAGCTAAAAAAAAAGTAGAACCTAACAGCCCAGCTTAACCTAGGAGGAGGAGAGAAAAACTAGTGGGGATTGTGGCGACCCGTGGCAAAGATGTGGATCGTGAAGGATAGGGATGGTACTTGGGAATCGTGAGGTGCTCTTTTTCAAGCACCGTGGGCGTTTGTAAAATAGGAAATATAGGTTTTGGATAGCAGGAGATGAAGATAGGGATATGAAAATAAAAGACTAGCATGCTCCTCCCATACCTCTACTTTTATCCCAATCTATTTCTCTTTCTCTATCTCATCAATCTCCATCCAAACTTGTTTGGGCCAGTTAGGATTAAGAAATTTGACCCAACGTATTTTCGGTCGAGCTAGAAATTCACGTAACTTCGAGAGATATTTTGATCCGTCTAAGACTGCGTGGCCTAGAGTCCTAGACCCACGTCCGCTTCTTTTAGGGTTCGTTTAGGTGCGCCCGATTCGCGCGCCGACATAAAAACTCTTTGTAGCTACACTTTACAATTAGGGCCCAGAGTATTTGTTTTTATTTGGTAATAATTATTCAATCGCTGACTGATTAATTGGCTCAAAACGTTCGCCTCAAAGTACAAACCAAATTGGTGTGCAATTAGTTTTTTGATTTCGTCAACATTTCAGACTCCATACATATCTCTGTAAGTTTGATGACCGAAAATCTTCTTTTATATATAGTGCCAAAGTTTGAAATTGACGGAACTAAACACCTTTATTATTATCTATAACGGAGACATTTTACGGTAGCTCGTGGTTTACGACCAGGCTGTTTTGAGTGAGGACGTATAAACAGCGACACGGCTTGTCGCAGTCTGCAGCGACAAAGCGCCGCCGTCTGCTTGTTCCGGCTAGGATATTGAAAACGCCCCCCACATCACATGGGCCTCGTGACGGCCCAGGACCACAAACCCACTCAAGAAACCTCGCGTAGCTTCGCCGCGCGGCGACACACACACACACAAAAGCCTCGTCCTTTTGCGTCACCTCGACGCCACATCTCTCCGAGCCCCACCCGCCGAGCCGCTGCCCCCGCCCTCCCCGCAATCAGACCCCAGCTGCTGCCCCGATCCGTCCCCTCCCCCCCCACCGCCGACGCGCGATGCGCGGGAGCCGGAGGCGGCGCCGCCAAAACCCAAGCTAGGAGTGGAGATTCCGATCCTCCACGCGCGCGCGCTCGCGCCATGGAGCCGGTGCCCTGGAAGCGCAGGGCGCGCCCCCGGCGTGCTCCGCCGCCAGGTCCCTCCAAGATTTGGCCTCCCGCAAGCGCGCCTGCCGTGGTTCCGAGCCGCCGCAGTCCCCCCCGCCGCGCCGACGCGGCCGCCGCCCTGCCGTGGTGATGACGGCCCCCGCGGCGAGCGGCGCGTCGGCGTCGGCGGGGTCTTCTCCCGGGGCGCGGGCTCAAGCGGAAGGTGGGCTGCATCGACAGCGCCACGCGGATCGGGCGGCGGAAGCGGCTGGAGAGCGAGTACGACCTCGGCGAGGAGATCGGGCACGGCAAGTTCGGGTCCGTCCGCGTCTGCCGCCCCAAGGCCGCCCGGGGCGAGGAGGAGTTCGCCTGCAAGGCGTTGCCCAAGAACGGCGGGGACACGGCCCACCGCGAGGTGGAGATCATGCAACACCTCTCGGGCCACCCGGGCGTCGTCACGCTCAGGGCCGTCTTCGAGGACGCCGACGCCTTCTACCTCGTCATGGAGCTCTGCCACGGCGGACGGCTCCTCGATGAGGTGGCCAGGGAGGTAAGCTCTCTGAGCGCCGCGCCGCCAATGTGATCAAGGAGCTCATGGCCGTCCTCAAGTACTGCCACGAGATGGGTGTCGCATGCATAGGGACGTCAAGCCGGAGAATGTTCTGCTCACCAAGGCTGGAAGGCTGAAGCTTGCAGATTTCGGATTGGCCGTGCGAGTTGCCGATGGTAAGTACCTAGAAAGATTGCCACTTCTATCTAGTCGAATTGGTTCTATTCTGACAATGTAGTTCCTTAAAAATGCTGCCAGATTAGTAGATAACAATGGTGGAGAACGAGAATTACTCAATATAGGAAGATTTAATCACATCAAATTCTTATGGTGTTGTAGTGGTTACTATCTTGTCGTTGTGTTCAAATTCTGCATTAGGAAGAATGGTTTATTTTGCTAATGCACACATAAAACTAGGTCTTTGGCAGGGTTTTCCAGTTCATGCTGCATTTGCACATTGTCACTAGCATTTAAAAGGCATTTTACAGGGGATTTGAAATGTGCAAGTTGTGTTTTCAGTGATGACTTGGTATCAGGTACTCATTCACTGTGTCATTTTGTTTTGTTAGGTCTGTCAAGAGTCGAAGTGGTGCTAATTTGGTAGTTGCAGTCGAGTTGTTGTCATCCGGAGGTAGTTGTTACTCCCATGGAGTTCTGGATATTTGGGTTCACAGCATCAATAGAATGACATCATGGTGGTGAGGTAGTCAGGTCATCGTTACTGCTACATGGGTCATGTGGTTTTAAGGCATTTGTGTGCTAGATATAGGCATATAGCAGCCTAACTGGTTTTAAGGCCAGTAATAATTTGCTCATCAGGAGGTGGTAAAATGTCTGTTAGTAGTTTCCTTGTGTATGTGATCAGACTAACACTAACATGTCTTTGTTTTCCTGTAAAACTATGTATGAAACCATGACGTGATTATATTGGATGAGCTTACCCTGTTTTGTTTCAATGCACTTATCGTTATACAAGGAATATGTTGAAACACAATTCCTTGCATATGGCAATTATGATCTTTCTTTCTAGAATATTGACAAATTGTTTGATCATTAATTTTCTTTCTGAGATTTTGTAGTGTCGCACAAATGGACCATTTGCCATTCGGTATTTTAGTCTATCTGCCATTAGATTCTGTGATATGACCTGGCTGCTATGTTAATATCTGTATATCTTTATTGAAACGTATTTACTTGAGGTTTGAGGTTACAAACGTGGTATTCTCTGGCTAGAAAAAAACAAGTTGCATCTAGGTCAAAACTAGATGATGCTCTTGAATCGTCTATATGACTCTTTCACTTGCTACAGGTTTGATGCTCACTAATATGTTCCTCAACTTTGAGCAGGTCAGCAATTGATTGGTGTTGCTGGCAGCCCCGCGTATGTGGCACCTGAGGTTCTACTAGGAAATTACTCGCAAAAAGTAGATATATGGGCTGCTGGGGTGCTTCTGCATGTTCTATTGATGGGCACTCTTCCATTCCAAGGAAATTCTGTCGAAGCTATCTTTGATGCTATAAAGACTGTCGAGCTTGACTTTCACAGCAGTCAGTGGGCATCGGTGTCAATGCTTGCTCGTGATCTCATTGGCCGAATGCTTAATCGAGATGTCTCTTCAAGACCCTATGCCAAAGATGTTCTCCGTAGGTTCAAGCATCCTTATAGCTTATGCTTCTTTGATGTGATTTCTCATTGACTCTTCCAATGGCTTTGAACACAGGGCACCCCTGGGTCTTATTCTACACCGAATGCCCGCAGAAAGCTGAATTCTCTGACCTATGGGGTACTAACAAGACTGCAACTCCCATGATTCATAGGGAGAGAGTTAGGTTTGATTACTGCGAGTCTTTATCTTCAGAATCCTCAACTGACAACTCTGAAGAGCAAGATGAATGCGGTATAGTTGACGCACTGGCGACAGCAATAACACAGGTGAGGATATCAGAGCCCAAGAGGACCCGGCTGTTCAGCCCAGCCAACGGGCTGTTGCCGCCAAGCAGGAACACTCTCCGAACTTGAGGAATCCGTGTGTGGCTTTCTGACTTGACCTACCTAGCCAGCCCCCTTGTTTGTATATATGAGCTCTGTGATTTTGTAGATGTAAAATTGTTTGCCGTGGTTGATGTTTTGCAATTTCTAGCTCGCTGAGGCTGTAATCCTCTGTAAATATATCCACTGTTGTCATCGTTTTTCTTTACATCGATGACACCATAATTGATTCGTTTTTAGTTTCGTTTGGTGCGCGTGGATAGTGCCATTGTTGTACTATATACTGTCACGGTGCGTTTGTGGGCTTCTGAGCGTCGAAAGCGGTGACGAAATACCCTCCTTGTCGCTAACGTTTCATTCCTTGTTCGCTGATGTTTGCGTTTGTGGGCTTCTGAAGCACAAAAACCTTGTTCGGCTTGCCCTCTGGGCCTTAGGCTGGGCATTCGGGCACAGTGGGCTGGTGAGAAAGGCGTAGGTGGGCCTATATGGTTTCGCCTTCAACTGTGATTGATGGGTCGGGCTACAATAACTGTGACTGATGGGCCGGACTACGATTAGTACTAATAGGACTGTTTCAGTTATCGGTCAGGGGGCACTGGCCCACGATCGGCCGGTCTGCTCCGGAACGAATTCTAACCCTGCTAGCTATATATCTCCGACAACACAACCACTACTAACGCGAGTACGAGCACCAGCCCGACGCCGCCGCTGCCCTCCCAAGTAAATACGTAACTATGAATATGAAAAATTGCATTTTTAAAAATTGCAATAATACGATGGGCGAACGACGGGAATTAAACCTGCGCATGGTAGATTCACAATCCACTGCCTTGATCCACTTGGCTACATCCGCCTCTTATCCAGCTAAAGGATTTTCTCTTTTTTCTATTCATTATTATTCTATTTATTCTGACCTCCATATCTCGATCGAGATAGTGGACATAGGATGACACTCTTTAAAATGAAAAAAAGGAGTAATCAGCTGTGACACGAATCGCTCGGTCCTCCTCCTCTCTCCTAACCGGCAATATCGTTGGTGGATAGAGAAGTAGGACCCGACCCCTTTAGGTTTTGCGGATCCTTGTTGATCCAGGTTTCATTTTCTCGTATCATTATCAAGGTGGTGGCGACGATGATTGTTTGGAATAATATCTCTCTGGCCTCTCCCTACCTCCAACGATGTTTGATCTAGCATCGGAGAAGGGCTAGTGAGAGTTTGGTTTGTCATATGTTGTTCTTCTTCGTTGACTTTTGTTGTGTTTATCAGAGTAAGCCGTTGGTTGGCTTTCGATACGGCAATCTCGGCCTTTTCATTTGATCTGTTCTACAGCAAGGTCCGACATCTTCAACGCGTTGTTCTGATCGTGAAAGATTGTAAGCCTGCGTCCTTTGGATGTTTTCTCCAGCCGATGTTCTTTCAGTGGATACTAGATCTCATTGTCAGCGACGAGTGGCTTTTTCGGTCTTCAAAGCCTTGTCTAGGAGGGTGTTTGCGGGTGTCCCTTTTCTTTGTTGTCTTCACAAAGGCGATCTTTAAACTCCCAAGAAAGCGGTGGATGTTCAAAGGAAGAAGAAGACAGATTTGGTCTTTGATGAACTCTTGGCCCCATTCGCTTCGATGAAAAAATAAGCCGAAACACTGTTCTAGCTGATTTGTTGTGAGAGAAAAACACTGTTCTGGCTAAAAAATAAGCTGAAAAGTACGGATTATAAGACAAGTGAACATGACCCTTATTTCTAGAGTGTCTTTTTGTCCATCATGTAACACCCGTTTGAGTATCTTTATTAAAAAATAGCTATATATCTTGCATGCAACCTATCCACCCCAGCAAAGTACTATTACATACAATTAAAATCCAATAGCACATGCAATTGAAATGACTACATCAGTATGACACACAAGCATTTTATTATCCACGTCAATATGCTATAGAACCTATTAATTTGCAATTTTCACAGCAACACGTGGGGTAAGCTTCTAGTATAAATACAGCCAAATCCAAGCATGCCTAAGCTTACCAACTGTCGGCAAAGCAATCACATCAGACTGATTAAAGATGGCGTCTTAATCGCCTAGCACAGATTTGCAACCAACGACGACTCTGTAGCGACTGCATGCAACTTCCTCAAGCCCGCTGAGCGACCACCACGGGTCAGCTTCCGACGACATGAGATCCGCCATCAGCGACTCCGGCGTGGACGAGGCCTCGTTGAAGGTCCTTTTTTTTTTTTCCCCTTCCAATCCAATCCAATGTACTGTAGCCTGTAGCCAGGACACCAACGGTACTAGTGAGCCTTATCCCTGAGACCCTGACGAGTTTGGCCTTTGCATCTTCTTCCTTCTCTGAAGGCACCAGTCATATCAGCGCATGCCTGCAAGTGCTGTGGAAAGAGACTACTGTAGCATGTAGGAGTAGAGTATGTATCAAGCTGCAAGGGACCACATCTCTCGCTCGGCTGTAGACGCAAAATAATGTACAAAAACTATAAGACGCTCCATACTTCCATGAAATGTGCTTATACTCCACAACAAGCACACAAAAGAAGGAAAAGGGAAACACATCTAGGGAGCCAGTAGTCCATCGCATGCTGCGTCTCGTCGTCGGACGAAGCGCAGACTTGACTAACCAACAGCTGATGAGCAAAGTAACAGTAAGCTGGAGACAGGCGCGCATGGTGGCGCAACCAGCGGGCATGGCAAGCAGCCAAGCCAAGCACTCTCCTCCCGAGTGCGGAGTGCCGACCGCGGCCTCCCCACGTGTCACCCAGCACAAGAACAAATCCTACCACCTGACCCTGACCTGAGCCTGTTCGCGAGAGAGGGTCCGCCCGCGTCCCGCCTTTGCCGGCACGGGGGCAGGCGGCATCGGATCTGCCAACTCGGGTCGGGGGCGCAACAAGTGTTTCTGTGCCACCAGCACGCACTCTCCCGGTGCCCCTGCTGCATGCATGCGCTAAAGCTAGCTAGGAGTAGTAGGCCCGCGTGCAGTGATCAGTCGAGGCATCGAGCGTTTTTGGCTCGATTTGATCGGGGAAAAGAGAGCCAAAGCAAAGCCAGAGCTAAGCGGGGAGGCGTCGTGCTGCGCTACTGCTAGCTCTAGTCCTTTGGCGAGGGCATGATTGCCGGGGGCGGAGGCAGGCACGAGCCGTCAGCCCTCAGCTGAGAGAAAGAAAAGGGACACGGCAGCAGCGCACCTGCGTCTGCGTGCGCTGGTGGGTGGGGAGGACAGGTGACAAGTGCGCCGAGAGGCCGACCGATCGAGAGCCACAGCCAAAGCATGCATGCATGCCATGAAAGCTACCGACCCAGCGGCTGGCTAATCATGAGCCCCAGGAACGACGAAGCCCAGTCGGAAAGATGCATGTTGCATTGCATGGAGCATGGTGGCCTGGACGCCTGGTGGGCTGGTCGACCCACCTGATCTCGCACTCCCATGCTGCCATGCACTGCAAAATTGCACGCGTCGGCTCAGGGCATCCCCACCCTACGGGCTACCACTGCTACCCTAGCCTCCATAGCCTACGTAGGAGTATAGCCTAGCGCTCATCAGCTTTCTCCCGTCCCGGCCTCTCAGGCTCAGCTCTCTGCTCTCACCGCGGGATAGAGGAGCTTTGCCGAGTGACAGGGACACTCGACAAAAGCTCAAAGACACTCGACAAATGCTTTGTCGAGTGTAACACTCGCATACAACACACGGTATTATTTTTATCGGTAAACAGTAGTTTGCCGAGTGTTTTTATCGTGCACTCGGCAAATAGTTTATCGAAAGTGTCAATAAACACTCGCAAAAAGAAACTCTCGCACAAAAATGATAACGGGATGGCATGGTGACAGCGATTTTGCCGAAAGTGCACGATGGGAAAAACACTCGGTAAAGTTTCTCAAGTTTGCCGAGTGTTAAGCTTCAAAACACTCGAAAGTGTCATCTCTAAAACACTCGGTAAAGTGCTAAAGTTTGCCGAGTGCAAGACCAAACCACTCGGTAAAGGTTATAAAGTTTGCCGAGTGTCAAGACCAAAGCACTCGACAACGTTTACACACTTTGCCGAGTGTCACGCCAATACACACTCGACAAACAAGCGCGCAACGGGCAGATTTTATGGTCACTTTGTCGAGTGTCCATTTGAATACACTCGGCAAAGACAAAACACTCGGCAAAAAAAGGTTCCCGAATAACAGAAATTGGTTTCTTCACGAGTGTTTCGCTCGACACTCGATAAAAAGCGTCTCTTTGCCAAAGTGTTACACTCCGCAAAAGCGACCCTTTTACTAACTCATCTCGTGATAACGGACCCCTCTCGATTCACAATAAACCATCACAATTCAAAATAAAGGTCACAAGCATAATTATATGTCACAGTACATAATTGTATTTCACAGGCATAATAAACCATCATCATAATTTACAAACCATCATCACAATTCACGATAAACCATCATCACAAGTCACAACTAAATCACAATAAGCCACAAAGGCAAATGCAATCATCATGGAGGCCCTTGGTACCACCGCGACAAATCCGGGTCTTGAAACCGATTATTTGATGTCGCCGATTGATTACGCATAAAAGAGAAGAGATTATATGTAAGCTGCAGATATAAAAAGCTCACTGCAATCAGAAAGTATTAGTAGTGTCTTGAAAAATACTTACACGTAAGTATATATAGTACTAATAAAAACTCACTGCACTCCGACCCATGCATGTTCAGTTAGTATATCTTACCTATTAGTACTAGTTTAAGCCATGCAGTGGGGGGGCTTAGAGTTAGAAGCTGGAGCTGGCAGGGCCATGCCAATGGTAGTGCAGGCCATGCGCAGTAGCAGCGAGCAGGCCATTGAAGTCTGTGTTATTACTATTATAAGCAAAGCCACTTAAGCTCAAGGTGGTAGTCAGTTGTCACGCCTCGCCTTAATAACTATGAGAGTGTACTTTTGTTACTGCAGTTTTTTATGTAGCTGTAGCTACAGCAGCCTCTAGATTAATACTGGCAGGGTGAACTGCTTGTGATGTTCGCTGCAATATCTATG